CTACCACAGGCCACAGAATGTACTGCCAGACTATTAATAATGTTCCCTTAAGGTCCAAGCACATCTGTTCAGTCAGCTTATGACGAATGCTGACTAGCCTGGGACTCACCCTTCAGGGCAGTGGGCTCCCCTCTGGCCCAGGGCAGGTTGAGAAATACTGTTCAAGAATCAAGTCCTGGAACTGGTGGCCCCAAGACCCCACATGGTGCTCTATCACTCTGTGACCGTGCTGGAACCTAAGGTACAAGACAAGCCCCTTTACTTTTCCTTCTGCTTTTCTCAAGCAGAAGGACTTTCACTCTGTAGCCACCACAGCTGGTAATGTGCTGAGCTCACCTGAAGACAGCAAGTCTCAGGGGCGCGCCTGGGCCCTTGATGTAGTACCTGGGTATCACTGCTGGTTATTCAGTGTCCAAAGTGTTCTTCAGTTAGCAGTGATAAATTTCGTGAGGAGTAGGTCCTTTCCTTCAAGGCAGCAGGTTGACCTCTGGCCCAGAGTGTGTCTAGAAATGTCATCCAGGAACTAGGGCCTGAAATGGGCCTTATGACTCTGACAAGTTCCCTGTCCAGCTGTGGCTGAGCTGGTATGAAGATGCAAGACAAAGTCCTCCTCACTCTTTCCTCTTCCTCTCCTCAAGTGATAGGAAGGGATCTCTTTTGGAACCGGGAGTTGTGCACCCTGGGATTAGGGGAGGGGTAATGGCAGCACCCACTTAGCCACCCTAGCTGGTGTCTCAGTAGGTTGCCTGCCCTCCCCACCCCCATCCACTGTCTCTGGGTCTAGTTCAGCACTAGGACTCACCTAAGATTTGCAGTTCTTATGACCTTGACTGCCTTTCAAGTTTACTTGCAAGCACAGAGCACTGTAGCTATCAGCTGTGAGGTTTTGGGAACTCATGTTATTGCCTGTGGGACAGGCAATTTCCGCTCTGACTAGGGCCGGTTTAAATGCTCGCTCCATGGGTGGATGTCAGCTGAGTTTGGTCTGTTTTTTCTTTCTGTTCAAACAGGACACAACTGAGTTCAATGTCTCATAATTACCGTGTTTTTCCTCTCCCAGTACCCAGAAATTCTCTCCATACTATGTCACCACTGCCTGGGGTGGGAAAGTGGTGGCATCTGTGATTCAAGGCTGTTTTCTCTGCCTCTTCAGTACCATTTTCAGCAATACAAAGTTATCACCAGGTACTATGAGAGCTCACTTAATTTCTGGTTCTTATGAAGGAGTTTCCTTTTGTGTAGATTGTTGTTAAATCTGTGTCCTTGCAGCAGGGATGACTGGTAGAGCCTTCCACTCTGCCACCTTCAGCTATAGATACTTTGTAAATGCTCTTCGTCAAGTTGAGAAAGTTGCCCTCTTTTCCTAGCTTGCTGAAAAATTTTTATCTTTTTTGGATGTTAAATTTTGTTTAATAGTTTTTGCACCAATTGGTAAAATTATATGATTTTTCTACTTTAGTTTGTTTATGTTATGGGCTATATTGGTTGATTTAAAAATATTGAGCCAATCTTGTATACCTGGAATAAACCTCACTTGGTCATAATGCAAAGTTATTTTGTATATTGTTCGGTTCAGTGTGCTAATAATTTGTTGAGAAGTTATGCACTGAAATTTAAGATATATGAGTCTTTAGTGTTCTTTCTGTAGTTTATTCCTTTTTTTTTTTTTTTTTTTTTACTGTGGTCATCAAAATTTGATATAAATATTGGAAAGTGTTCTTTCATGTTCTATTTTCTGGAAGAGATTGTACAGAATTAGAACTAGTTCTTCTTTAAAGGTTTAATAGATTTCTACAGTAAAGCAATAGACCTGGAGATTTATTTTTCAAGACCTTTTAAATTATGAGTTTAATTTCTTATACAGTTTAGGATTGCCAAGATTATATGTTTTGTGTTCAGTGAGTTTTGTTAGTTTGTGCTTTATTGAAGAATTACTTTATTTCTTCTAACTTAAAATGTATAAGCATATAATTATTCATTGTATTTCCTTATTATTCTTTTGCTCTCTGTAGAGTTTGTAGAAATATTTCATTCCTTATTTTCAATATTGGGAATTTGTGTCTTCTCTTTTTTTAATCGTTGTCAATTTTGCCACATCAATTGTATTGATCTTTTGAGAGGACCAGCATTTTGTTATATCTATTTTCTCAATTTGTTTTGTCATTTATAATTTCACTGATTTCTGCTCTTATCTGTGTTATTCTTTTTTTCTGCTGGCTTTGGATTTACTTTGCTTTTTTTTTTTTTTTTCATTTAGTTCAATCAGGCTAATTCCTTTGAGAGTTACTCTTCAAAACATGTTTGAGAATTTCCCTATTACCTCTGTGTCATTGATTTCTAGTTTAGTTCCATTATTATGCTAAATTAATTACATGTGAAATAAGCTCTGCATACTTTTAATTATTTTGAAGTTTTTGTATTTGTTTATGACTCAGAATATGGTCTTTATTGGTGAATGTTCCATGGATATTTTAAAACAATATTTATTTTGCTATGGTTCGCTGGAATAATCTATTATTCAATTAGATTCTGTTGGTTGATGATGCTGTTTAGTTCTTCTGTATCTTTGGTGATGTTATTTAGTTATTCTGAATCTTTTGCTTAATTATTATATCAATTACTAAAAGAGGAGTATTTAATTTTCCAAATGCAATTGCAGATTTTTTATTCTTATAGACAGCCTATCATTGAATTATGACTTTTTATCTATTTTACCAATATCTGTCTTTTAGTTGGTTAGACCGTTTATGTTTAAAGTAATCATTGATATGTTAAGGCTTATGTCTGCCTTTTATTTTCCCCCTCTATTTTTCATTCTTTTAATTATTTTCTTGTCTTTCTCTGGGTTACATGAACATTTTCAGAATCCCATTTTTATTTATTTATAGTTTTGTTTAGTATATCTTTTTGTATAGTTTTTCTTAATGATTGCTATAGGAATTACAGTACACCAAAGTAAGTTGTCACTGTGTACTGATAATAACATTTTACCATTTCAAATGAGGTCTAGAAACCATGCTTCCATTTAGGCCCCCTGTGTCTTCTTCACTTTCAAAAATGTAGTTGTCTTAAGTATGACATCCACACAGAGTAAACCTAAGATACTGTTATAATTTTTGCTTCAACCATTAAATGTGATTTAAACACACATGAATAATCTATTATATTTAACCCCATTTTGCCTATTCCATTGCTTTCTGTTTTCTGAAGTTCCCAGTCTCATTCTGTTTTTAGCTTCCCTCTATTTGAATTTCTCTGGCCATTCTTCAATTATAAGCCTATTGGATAAACATTTTCTTAGTTTACCTTTATCTAAGCAAGTCTTTATTTTCTCTTTATTCCTGAAAAATATTTCTTTCAGCACTGAAAAATATTGTGCCAATTTATGCTGGTTTTCATCATTTCAGATGAAAAAATTGTTATTATTTGAAATATTGCTTCCCTATAAGAAATGTGTTATTTCTCTCCAACTCCTGCACCAAACTTCCTAGTGAACAACAACAAAAAAGAAAAACAGCATTATGGCTGCTGCTACATTTCTACTTTCCCAATCTCACACAAAAATTTCTCCTTTGGTACATTCTAACTAGATTGATACAGTGAAGAAAATCTTGAAAAAAGCACTTCTGCCTAGCCAATTTGGCATACTACAAAACCATCACAATTTGCCCTTTGTCAACTTGGCATTATAAACCTCTCTAGATCACACTTATCCTCAACATAAAGGCAACAGAACCATCATGTTTCTAATATAATGCAAATAGGCCTCACACAACTGAAAATGCAAATCAAAATAATAAAGAAAAACTCATAACTATTCCAATCCTAGTTTTTTTCAACAAGTCTTATCACCATTGCTAGTATTTATAACTAACTTTTTAGACCACCCATTTCATGTCCTCTTTACCTTCACTCAGCAGGCACCTCAGCGTCTTACGTATTTTTGCCTGGTGGTGACTCAGACCTTCAATTCTGAAAGATCTGGGGACTCAAGCAGGGATGCCTACATTGGACTGCTACACTTTTTTATTGACTTAACACAAGACGTGAGAGTATTAAGAGCACTCTAGTTGTTTGTTTCTCACAAGAATATATTGTAGCATTTCTGAAACTAGGTTGAACGAAAAAGTTGAATTAACTTTTAGGTAATACGAGTCAGGATTACCATCATCAGAGAAAGAAGAAAGAAGTAAGCAAAGGGGTGCGGTGAGGTTGGAGGAAGGCTACAAAGCACCCTGTGGAGCTGGCTTACAGTCAGAGTTACCAGTATAAACTCATGTATCATGCATGTACAAACTGATAGAGAAATAAATGTAGATATGTGTGTATATATGAGTTAGCATACATATACAGGCAAAGTAAAAAGCTGACAAAATGGGAGAAAACAATTATTAAAAAGTCACGGCTGCGCGGTCGCCGCTGCAGCCTCCGCCGCCCAGAGCCTCGCGAGCTCATTTGTGCCTGGCTGCTCCCCATCCCTCTCTCCCCAGTGTTTATTGTCTGAGCCATTGGCTGCCCCGAACGTTTTGGCTCTTTCCCTTAGTAACAGCTTTTACCTTCTTCCTCAATTCCTCTTCCTTCTCACGCTCTTCCCACGCGCGCCGCCTCCCCTCGCCGCTGGCCGCTTGCGCCCCCGCCCCTCCCACCGCGGCGGGAGCACCTCCGCTCGCCACCTGAGGATCCGCAGGCGCCACGCTCCCCGGCCAGCCCGCGCGGCGCCCATCCCCGCGCCCTCCGCTCGCTGGGGTTATGATTGCCTCTCACCCCCACGGAGGGGTTATTTTGGAGTGGTTGGAGGCGGCGGCGGCGGCGACGACGGGAATTTCCTTGTGCCTCCATTCCCGGGAGCGGGAAGCGGCGTTGGAGGCCACCGTTTCCAGAATCAGTAACAGCAATTTGTGATTGGCGATGACCGGATATTCCCTTGCACATCCCCTCAGCAATGCACTGCCAATGGGTTATATCCTGTGTTGTGACCTCATGGTTTAAGTGGGATATAGATGAGTATAAGCAGTGATGAAGTCAACTTCGTGGTATACAGATACTTGCAAGAGTCAGGATTTTCTCATTCAGCATTTACCTTTGCTATAGAAAGCCATATCAGTCAGTCCAATATAAAGGGTGCCCTCATCCCACCTACTGCATTGATTTCTATCATCCAGAAAGGTCTACAGTATGTAGAAGCAGAAGTTAGTATTAATGAGGATGGTACCTTTATTGATGGTCGACCAATAGAGTTTGTGCCTGATAGATGCGGTAATGCCTGATGTAGTACAAACAAGACAACAGGCTTATAGAGATAAGCTTGAATCGCAACAGGCAGCAGCTGCCGCAGCTGCAGCCAACCAACAAGGATCTGAAAAAAAACGGAGAAACCACAGCAAATGGGGAGGAGAATGGAGCACATACTATAGCAAATAATCATACTGATAGGATGGAAGTGGATGGGGACGTTGAAATCTCTCCTAATAAAGCAGTTGTGTTATGGGGCCATGAATCTGAAGTTTTCATCTGTGCCTGGAACTCTGTTAGTGATCTCCTAGCATTAGGGTCTGAAGACTCAACAGCAAGAATAGGGAATCTTAGTGAAAACAGCACCAGTGGCTCTACACAGTTAGTATTTAGACATTGTATAGGAGAAAGAGGGCAAGATGTTCCAAACAACAAGGATGTAACATCTCTAGATTGGAATAGTGAAGGTACGCTTCTAACAACTGGTTCCTACGATGGGTTTGACAGAACATGGACTAAATAAAGATGGTAACCTTGCTAGTACCTTAGGGCAGCATAAAGGCAATATTTGCATTAAATGGAATAAGAAAAGAAATTTTGTCCTAAGTGCTGGAGTAGACAAGACTACAATTATTTGGGATGCACGTACCGGTGATGCCAAGCAACAGTTTCCTTTTCATTCAGCACCAGCATTAGATGTTGATTGGCAGAGCAACAACACCTTTGCTTCTCGTAGTACAGATATGTGCATTCATATCTGTAAATTAGGACAAGACAGACCTATTGAAACATTCCAAGGACATATGAATGAAGTAAATGTTACCAAATGGGACCCAGCTGGCAATCTCCTGGCCTCCTGTTCTGATGACATGACTTTAAAGATATGGAGTATGAAACAAGACAATTGTGTCCATGATTTGCAAGCACATAAAGAAATTTATACTATCAAATGGAGTCCAACAGGACCAAGGACTAATAATCAAAATGGCAACCTTATGTTAGCAAGTGCATCCTTTGATTCTACTGTTAGGTTATAGGATGTAGACCGAGGGATATGCATCCATACCTTGGCAAAACACTAAGAGCCTGTGTACAGTGTAGCTTTCAGTCCTGATGGCTGGTATCTGACCAGCGGTTCTTTTGACAAATGTGTACACATCTGGAACACACAGACAGGTGCTCTAGTTCACAGCTAGAGGGGAACAGACGGAATTTTTGAAGTTTGCTGGAATGCAGCAGGAGACAAAGTTGGAGCCACTGCATCAGATGGTTCAGATTGTGTATTAGACTTTTGGAAATAGCACTACTAGTTGGAAGCCATGGACCAACTGTGAATCTGTACATAGCCAAAATGACTGTCCCTGACCCACGTACTGCTATAGTCTCACTTGAACCATGGCCAGTCGACTACGGCCAAATCTAAAAGAAATACGGGCCAGGCGCAGAGACTCATGCTTGTAATCCCAGCACTTTGGGAGGTCGAAGCAGAAGGATCAAGGGTCAGGAATTCGAGACCAGCCTGGTCAGTATGGTGAAACCCTGTCTCTTTTGAAAATACAAAAATTAGCTGGACATAGTAGTGTGCGCCTGTAGTCCCAGCTACTCAGGAGGCTGAGGCAGAATCGCTTGAGCCCGGGAGGCGGAGGTTGCAGTGAGCAGAGATTGTGCCACTGCACTCCAGACTAGGCAACAGAGCAAGACTTTTTCTCAAAAAAAAAAAAAAAAAAAAGGAAAGAAATATATACATACAATGTATATAAACAAAATTGCACCCTGAAGATGACAGAATTTTGTCACAGCTTGTGAATTCTGTTCACCAAGTGCTAGAATCTAATCTGCTGTGCTGCTAAAATAGCATTTAGAAGTTTTGGATATGAAAAACAGAAGAGAGAAAAATACACATTATAAAAGCAGAACACACATGTGCCAGGTTTTGGATACTAAATGACAGCCTCATTTTTCCCCCTTGAGTCAGCAAACACCATGGATTATATTCTTTTTTTCCCTTCAGTAGTGAGCAGTTTGTATGTACAGAGAAAATGGGCACAAAAACTTGCAGCGGTAGTTTGTTCTTGCTTTAAAATTTTGTTTTTGGTTTAGATTATGGATGCATGAAGTAAGGGAGTGAACCAGTTTCTTGTTTATATTTTTTCACATTTTAAACAACAAAAAAATTCTTTAAAATATTTTAATGCATTCGTTTGAAGAGGTAGATATTTGGTACATTTTATGGCTCCCAGCATATATTCAATTGGTGCATGTTGTGGAAGGGGGAATTGGAAATTAAATGAAAACATACGACTTTGGTCATGTCAGTCTGCAAGACGCATCAGTAAAAGATGTATTATACTCTGTTGGTTTTGGTTTTTGGTTTTGCTTTTTTTGTTTGTTTGTTTTTTGTTTTTTGGTGATGTGGCATAAATGCAGTAGTTTCCTTTTTGGGACATATTTCTACCAATTAAAGACTAGAAGGGCACAAAATTTTTTTTTTTTAAATTACCGTAGAGAAAATACATTAAAAAAAAGTGGCTGGGCGCAGTGGCTCACACCTGTAATCCCAGCACTTTGGAAGGCCAAGGCGGGTGGATCACCTGAGGTCAGGAGTTCTTGACCAGCCTGGCCAAGATGGTGAAACCCCGTCTCTACCAAAAATACAAAAATTAGCCAGGTACAGTGGCGGGTGCCTGTAATCCCAGCTACTCGGGAGGCTGAGGCAGGAGAATCACTTGAACCTAAGAGGAGGAGGTTGCAGTGAGCCTAGATCGCGCCACTGCACTCCAGCCTGGGCGATAGAGTGAGAATCCATCCAAAAAAAAAAAAAACTTCTGATGTTTTGCAGCCATAAATGAATTATGGTAGAAATGTGCACTATTGTGAAAAGGGGCAAAGTAGTTTTGGGGTTTTTTGTTGTTTGTTTTGCTTTGTTTTTTTAAGAGATTAAAATGTTTCTGGATAAGAATTCGCTTCTCCAATTGTCTATCATTCTGTGTACAAGCTTAAATATGTAATGTAATCAAACTCCAGTATTAAAAATCTCTCATGTTTTTTCTTTATACTAAGCAAGATAATGGCATATAGCACTGCCATTACATGGCAAAATGTTTGCTACCTTAGTTTGAAAACCAATCTCTAAAACCAAAGACTTGCTTCAAGGTGTTTTTAAACAGCAGTGATTCCGATTTTTTTTATGAAAGTATAATTGCACTAACCTTCTGCCTGCTGCTCTGATTCTGCATTTGTGGTAATTGTGACTACATGTTTTTCAAATATAGATAGATTTAAGTCGCTAATTTTTTTCCAGTATCACTACTATATCATGTCTTTTACTCTGTTTATAATATTAAGTATTTTCTTAAAGATATAGATATTAAATTAAACCTCTTGTTCTCATGCAGCTAAGAGTAACATATACAGACAAACGACGGTTTGAAGCCATGTTTATATGTGTGACTAATAAGGCTTGTCATGATTAACATAATCCAGGTATGTCATTTCTGAAGAGAAAGTTAGTCAGATTTATATCTCAAATATTTTAATTGAAGAATTCCTTATTGTTGAGCTTAGCAAATTAATAACACTATTTCTGTCATGAATTATTTTGAGGCCTTTTAGTACTAAAATTTTAACTTTTAAGTTTGAGCAGAAACTGATTTAACCCAAGTAATGCAGCTTTGAGTTTCAGCTTTCGTTGCTTTGCTGTTTTTACAAAACAGCATTGATTGAAACAAGTCTTGGTTTCACTAAGGTAGGGTAGCAATTGCTATTGGTAGAGAGTATAAATACACTTAATTTCACAATACATTGTTATATGTATCCCAGTTGTTAGTGGGGACTATGAGACTACAATAATATTTTTAAAAATTTACATACAGGTCGGGCGCAGTCACTCATGCCTGTAATCTCAGCACTTTCGGAGGCCGAGGTGGGCGGATCACGAGGTCAGGTATAGTGAAACCCTGTCTCTGCTAAAAGTACAAAAACTAGCCGGGTATGGTGGCACGTGCCTGTAGTCCTAGCTACTCAGGAAGCTGAGGCAGGAGAATCGCTTGAACCTGGGCAGCAGAGGTTGCAGTGAGCTGAGACCATGCCATTGCACTCCAGCCTGGGTGACAGAGTGAGAGTTCATCTCAAAAAAAAAAAAAAAAAAAAAAAAAAAAAATTACATCGGAAAAGGCAGTCATTCACAATGGTTTTGTGCCAGCTCTTTTTAGGGTTTTGAATTTAGGTTTTGAATTAGAGATATTTAGAACTTATTAACCTGTGACTTCTGTAGGAAAGCTAATATGCTGAGTACCTGGCACTTTAATTCCTACTTTTATTGCAAGAGGTCCATATCTGTGGTTGGTCTCTGTTACTGTTTAAAAATAAAAATAAAAATTATAAAAAGTCTGTGCAATAATTTTAAAATGTGCTCCCAGGAATAGACACAAATGTTTAGAGTATCTTTTAAGTTGCATTTTCCTTTAGCCATGCATTTGTCAATTGCACTGAATTTAAACCTGAAAGTCAGAGATGATTATTGATGTTACTTTTATATTTTTGTATGGACAATTTATTCATTTGCATATACTTACTTTTTCCCAGCTGATTAAATCTAGTCAAGAAATTCTGCAATGCAGCTGCCAAAATAGCCAGCTACATTTTTATGATATTGTCATCTTTTCTGTTTTTTTTTTTCCTGTAGCTATTTTACTTAAGCGTAGTAACCACAATAGGACAGACAAAAGGACATATAAAAGACTATAAATACAGAGCTTTATTATCCTGACGTCTTGGGTCTTTTAAGTATACACTTTTCTGAAAGGCATCCATTTTGTAGGCTTGGGTTCTTTATGAGCATGTGATTGTTTATTTTTGCTGCTGTTCTCAACATCATCATTGCCTGTTGATGTACCAAGATGCTGCTCCAATAGATAGAAATAAGATTATCTCTAATTTGAGCAGTAACATCATTGCAAGAGACCAAGTTTCACATCTTGTAAAGTTCTGTATTTGGGATTCTTGCTCATTTTTCTGCCTGTGTTTTCCTGAGAACTTATTCCTGATGATCAATTGAATCCAGTAGTTTTACTATGCTATTCATTGTTGTATAAGCGACTGTAAGGAACCTATCATAAGGAAAAATAGAAGGGAAAACTTGAATGAATACTCATTGATTAAAATGGAATAAAGAAAGAGCAGCTGCTACTTTTAAGCAATATAAAGGAATATCTTTCTTGGCTTCCATGTAGGAAATGCCGTAGGTTCGTATGTTTGTTCCAATCCCTATTTCCTGCCATTGACCAGGTAACATCATGGCTTTCAAAAGACTTTTAGAAGTGGTAACTCTTGAAATCCCATTTGACTCAGCCATCCCATTACTGGGTATATACCCAAAGGATTATAAATCATGCTGCTATAAAGACACATGCACACGTATGTTTATTGCGGCACTATTCTCAATAGCAAAGACTTGGAACCAACCCAAATGTCCATCAATGACAGACTGGATTAAGAAAATGTGGCACATATACACTATGGAATACTATGCAGCCATAAAAAAGGATGAGTTCATGTCTTTTGTAGAGACTTGGATGCAGCTGGAAACCATCATTCTCAGCAAACTATGGCAAGAACAGAGAACCAAACACCGCATGTTCTCACTCATAGGTGGGAATTGAACAACGAGAACACTTGGACACCGGAATGGGAACATCATACACCAGGGCCTGTTGTGGGGTGGGGGGAGTGGGGAGGGATAGCATTAGGAGATATACCTAATGTAAGTGACGAGTTAATGGGTGCAGCACACCAACATGGCGCGTGTATACGTGTGTAACAAACCTGCACGTTGTGCACATGTACCCTAGAACATAAAGTGTGTATATATATATATAAAAGAAGTCAAGCCAGAAAAAAAAAGAAAAAAAGAAGTGGTAACTCTTAATTTCCTAATAGATATTAGAGTGTACTGAATTATGTTTTAATTATTGTCTCGGTAAGCATGTTTTAGGATTAAATACTTTTTATGGATACTGAAAGTGACTCCTCTTGTGGTGTGCAAAACAAATTATGGTGCAAAAAGTAATCACCAGATTGAATTACATGAAGGTTTTTTTTTGCTTTTTGGCATATGAAAATGTCAAGAGAAAGGCCAAAGATTTGTGCTTTTTCACTTATAAAACATCTCTGCTTTCCTTAAACTTCTTTCTGTCAAATTAGCTTTCATAAGAGAGTACTCTTTTTAAGGAGCTATCTGTTTATGTAGAATGATTTTGTTAAGAGTAATGTAAACTCTTATTGAGTGGAGGCCTAAAGAGGA